TGGAAACTTAAAGCTCTGTTTTCTTTGGGCTTCCAGCTCTAAAACTAAATAATCTGAGTCAAACAAAGTCTTTTCATAGGAGATACAAATGGTGTAAAGTTAATAATGCCTGGCTGTGAACCAATATACATTCGGTAGTTACATCACCTGGGGTAAGAGCCTTAGCCAGCTAAACTGCTTGTGCATGTCAGAGGACATTATGAAAGCATATGAAATCACACACTCAAGAATCGAATCATTATACATCTCCAAGTCTATAGTCTTCTAAGTATATTTACATTCAAATGAATTATGAGGCTCAGGATGAAAAGCAATGCAAATATCTGAATGAAACAATAAGTAGATGACATTTTTTCTAAAACTTCATCTGAGGAAGACTACTACTGTTGCCGGCTTCCTTAGAACAGTAGTTCTTGGAGCACGAATGCATTCAGAGTCATTTTGTTTCATCAGTTTTATTGTTATCGTTCATTTTTCCTTTATTATGGTTCTCACAAAATAATAAGAACTTTTCTACAAAATGTTGTCTTTCATTTCATTCTTTTAAAATGTAAAATTTATCCAACTCAATCTTAAGAGGCTAAATTGCAACTGACAATAGTTCCACCAAATGTATTTCACTTTATTGTTTCATTACATTATAGGAAAACATTATGCCAGGCACCCTCAGTTGTCCCCGCTGAGTAGGAAAAGGAGAAAAATATACTTTTGTGCTACATATACCTAAACTTAAAAGAAAAGGTTCCTTTTCTAATTTATGCAAATGTATTGAATGAAACAGTATGGAATGGTGATTCTCTCCTGCAAATAAACAAGGAAAAATAAAGATGTAATCCTAATTTAATGTTACAGAGTTCACTTAGATGTATAAAGTCTAGTCTGCTAAGCTGTTGATATGGGCCTGGATGTAGCTCAGCAGCACAGTGCCTGCCTGGCAAGCATGAGGCCCTGAGTTTAATCCCTGGTACCAAATTTTAAAAAAATAATATGTTGATAAGAGAAGTAAAATGTCAGAAATTCACAATATTTCCTTTGTTTCATGTCATTGTTGCAATGAGAAATACACTATTTAGTAGTTTATATAAAATTTAACAATGCAGTGAAAATTTCCCCACATATCCCTGCACCACCTTGACATTTCTAGACTTTTCATTGGTTCATTAAGTGCTTAAAGTGGGAGAACATTCTAAAACATATTAATGCTTTTTCTCTTGCACTTGCTGATACATGATCTTTCCCATTCAGACCTAGAAGCAATCTTTGCCTTAGGGAAAACTGAGAGAGTGGAATACAAAGAGAGAGAAATAATTGGCATAAATCCCTTGTGATTTTCAAAAATGGTCTTGAAAACTCTTTCAGAAACCATGGATTTTAAGATCTCACTTTAAAATTCTTGAGCCAGACACCAGAGACAGAAAAACATTTTCCAAATTAACAAAGCTTCTCTTTAAATATGAGAAGCAAAATTTGAAAAACTGAGTGTAGAATTTTATTTTAAGTCACAAATTGAAGTATATGGTATACAAGTACTACTTTCCCAAACGCCAAGACATCCCAAGGGAAGAAGGGAGCATAGAAGAGAGAGGAAAAAAGGGGAGAGGCATGCTGAGTGGTTACATTTTTTTCCATGACTTACTTTGATGTAGAGGGCATCTACTAAAGATTATATGTTAACTATTTTGCTCTTTGTAACTGATATTTTAAAGCATAACTGTATCAATCCTAATCAGCAGCTAATAGATATTGAGAACTATTTAATATCATTGAGACCTATTATATATGAGACATCTAAAGATAAAGCAACAAATTGAGAAATTTTAGGGTTCCTAAAGGAACTTTCAGTCTGTTGCAGGTGGTGGATGACATGGATGGAGGGAAGATACAAACGAGCAAGTGCCTGGTATAATATGTAGAAATATTTCTATTAACACTGTTCCACTTACATGTGAGAGTCCAGTCGGGTCTCTTTTTCTTTATGTTAGCAGTGACCATTAATGAGGTGTGATATGTGTTATTTTCATAAAGCAGAGAAACTTTTGAAATTACCTTTGTTTTTGTGAGTCAGAACTAGCCCGAGGAAAACATATATATACGGAAATGTTAAAAGACTATTTAATAATCAACAAAGCATGTTAAAATAAAGCAGTTCTACTATGTACTACTCTGTATACTTTGGGTAGCTATGCTTCTACCACTTAAGCAAATGATCGTAAAATTGAAATCATTTTAGTAGAAGAACAATGACAAAATAAAGCACAGAAAATCAGTAAAAATCAGCCAAAGGAAATGACTGGATGCTAAAGACATGACTTCACTGAATGCAAGAGAATTTTGGCCAAGACAATCACAGACTGGGCAACATACACTCCATTATTTTCTTTGGAGCAGTAGCTGTAGAAGTTATGGCTTACAGAGCCTTTACTGGGGAGAACGGTGTAAAACTCATGCTCACTATGAAAAGATTCTCTGGAAAGTAAGTGGAGATTCCCTTCATCATCTGTCATGATTTTCCGGAAATCATCAGAATGAAAGCAGGACAGATGGGATCTTGTGGGGCCTGAGAACACTCAGGCATTCATGGACTATAGAACAAGGAAAGGACATACGTACTTTTTGAACCATAGAAAAACAAAAAGTGCAACAACAACAAGCACAAATGATGATGAACTACAAAATAAAATAGCAAAATCACAAATTAAAACATTTACCAGGATGCAAATGTACAGAGTACATGAACAAGGACACTTTATGTAGAGGATAAGGTAAGTGAAAGAGAAGCCAGAGAAAGATGAGTACATGAAAGATGGGGTTGGAGAATCAAGGAAGGATAATCCATTCATCCTGAAAATACTATTAGGACTGTTTTTTATACTACATTGTCTAAATTTTTACAATTCATACTACATTCTTTCTCTTTGCTTTTTAAATTGTCAAAAGTATCTTTCTTTTAATCTTTCAATCAAATATTACTTCCAGTGGAAGTAAGTAATGTCTAAAGGTCTGACATTAAGCCATGGCTGTATATTTTACAGATATGGACCAGCCACCTCTGATCAGACCCTAATCAAACTTAGAAAAGTACAAATGAATAATCATTCAATCTTAGGACATCAGAGGGTATCTCCAGGTAATTAGGTTAGCGTTTCAAGAAAACAACACCTGTTTGTCATTATAGGACTGTCAACTGCCCTTTTTTTTAAGAGTCTCTGTGTAATCACTGTAATAAAAACTAGTTCGTAAAGTATGATACACAAAGTAAAATTGAAATCAATAAACAGCAGACTTGACACATACATATGGAAAACATGTCAAAGCTATGAAATATTCATACATGTCCAAAAGCGGAAATGAATTAAAACAAAAGAATTACCAGTCAGTACAATAAGGAAGATATTTATACTTGCCATCTCATTTGTTCTAGCTTAGTCTGCCCCAGCCACACCTGTCTTCCTGTACAGTCCCAGTGAAGAACCTTTTCATTTGGGCTACATTCACAAGGCAGCCTCCCATCACTCACTAATGCCTTCCTTGTTTCCATTTTTCTTTATAGCACCTACCCCGACCTGTGATGCTTTGTACTTACTGGCTTATTCTCGTGTCCCTAATGCAAGCAATGATCATCTGCTTAGTTAACTGGTATATCTCCATGAGAAAATAGTGTTTCTCACATGGTAGGCACTACATTTCTTTTCCCAGCAACTATGTAATACTAGGGAAAAGGAAATGAACTAGGAAATCCACCTCTGGAAACAGATTAGCAAATTATTGAATGTCCTTCCATTAAAATGCACATTATGTTGCACATGAAATTTAATGGCATGGTTTACTGCAATGTGATAAAACTTGTTCATACACCTGTGTATGTAGAAGATCAGCACATTTCCTTCTGCTCATATTTCTATAGCAGAGAAAATGATGAGAAAGAAGAGAGTGAAAGGGAAAAAATGGGACAAAGGAAAATTTGAAAAGAGGCAAAGCAGAGGAGATAAAGGAGATGATGAAGAAGAAGGCAAGGGGGACTTTGGGGAAGAGAAGGATGAAAAGATAATTTTTGAAGCATATTAATAGTGCTTTTCAAAGGCTGGTGATATTACAAGTTATTTTTGTTTTGTTTTGTTTTTTTCTCCGGTACCGGGAACCGAACTCACGACCTTGCGCTGGCCAGGCAGGCGCTTTGCCGCTGAGCTAAATCCCCAGTCCCTATTTTTGTTTATTTATTTATGCTTTTCTCTGTTCTCTTAGGAGATTAAAAATGGTTAATGCATTGTGAATTGTTATCTTCAAAGTGGTTGCTCAGATTACAAGATATGGGCATGACAAATTAAACAATACAAGCACAAACCATTTTCAAAGGACAAATAGAAATTAGTAGCATAATTAGCTTAGCTGTTGTGTGTGTGTGTGTGTGTGTATACATATTATCTGTATATATATTTTCCATTTCCCTTCCTTCTTTTCTCCTTTCTCCATCCCAGTTGTTCTTTCCTTCTGAGCAGTAACTTTCCCTTTCACAATATCTATTGTATACTTTGGACTTTTTTTACTCTTTTAGCTTCTTATCCTCGGGAGACGATACGATGTGCATACATATGAATCTGATTTATTTCACTTATGAGTATGGTCTCCAGTTGCATCCATTTACCTATAAAAGCCTCAAGTTTATCCTTCCAGTAGCACAATTTTTAATAGCTAGATCTTGGAAACAACCCAAATGCCCTTCAAGTGAGGAATGGATGAAAAAGATGAGGTATTTTCATACAATGGAGTACTACTCAGTTTTCTCTGGTTTCTATGACGTTCACAAGAACATTCATTACTTTTTAAATTGATTTAAAATTGATTTTAAATTTAAAATCTTGTATAAAGAACACACTCTGCCCTCTCATTCTCAGACATTCATCTTTGTAACAGCACAGACCTAGGAGGTGGTGAGGCAGGGATTTGGGAGCTGCTTAATAAATATTTCCTAAGAAATGCATATGAAATATGTCATCACTTACTTTGTATGATCTACAGCTGGCCTGTGGTTTTCTTCTCCATGGTGTATACTGATCCCTTTCCCAAGGTCCCACCTGAATGTGTTTGAATCTTGAAGTAAATCTCCTGGGATTGGCTGATACCACTTACACAAGCTTCGTTTTTCAAATGTGCAAACATCCATAACTTGAATAGAGCAGAACAAAGAAAAGATGAGCTAATCACAATAAATTGGTCACTTAATGGTGATTTTGATCTCTGCAGCACTTTCTCACTCTTTGCTTAATTACAATCTAACTTTTAAGCATTATTAAAATAATTAAGCAATTTCCAAAACTCCAGGTTTGTTCCATTAAAATGCCTATTGTAACTGAAATGTGGGAATAAATGCCTGTACTAATAATCGGCTCTCATGAGAGGTGTGATGTTAATTAGCTCCTGAAACAGCAAGACAAGCATTGCCAATCTCTCCTAACACAGCATTTCTGATTGTTGTATGATCTGTAAATTCTGACAAGCCAGTTCTCCTTTATCCTTAGTAATATTACAGAGCTGAACCTTAGACCAGTCTTTGACAGAGAAATTGCTAATTTCAAATGACTTAATTTCAAAGAACTCTGATTTATAAAGCTATGTTGACCATGTTTTTTGGAAAGTTTTTAGGATTCTTGTAATTGTATCCTAATATTACAGAAAATTACAAATACAGTGATTTTTTGAAATACAGAGATTTTGCATGACAGTGCTTTCTAAATTCTCTTTTCTTCTGTCACTGAATGTGTGCATGTATCTATCTATGTATGTTAAATCCTCTACTCCTTGACTTAAGAATATTCAATTCAATAAATTATGTATACTATAGAAAATCTGATGTGCATTCCTGCTTTTGATGTCATTAATTCTGGTGTCATACACTTCCACCATTTAGAAACTTGAGTATGAGTTAATAAAAATTCTGAGAAGGAAATACTGCAAAGAAAAAGTGATTTTAATCATAACATTTAGGTATGTTACTTAATCTGTGATATTAACAGTGATGAAATACTTATTATGTGAGGATGTTTAGGGTTCAATTGGGATTAGGATTCTATGCTTCATTCTTCATATCATTAAAATATAAGAATTGTGTTCTTCCAAAACACAATTAGCATAAAGTATAAGTCAAGCAATATAAGACCAAGAGATCTGATGTATAACATTCTTATCATCAACAGCATGCTGCACACTGAAAAATTTATCTCAATCAAAAAAGAACTAAAAAATGTAAAGCTGTCGATTATAAACAGATTTATCATAATGCTTTATATTACATAACAAGGAAGCAAGATCATACAGTTAGTAAATGCAATGTCAATAATGCAATCATATATACTTAAAATTATTCTAATTTGAAAATAATGTAAGTATATTCATCCACGTCATTTAAATAACTTATTAAAACAACTCATTTAATCATAAATGACATTATTATAATGACAAAGTTGTACTAAGAAGAAATTCAGTATTTACTAATAGTATTCATTAATATAATCTCTTGGGTTTTGTGTGAACTTTTAAAAATATTAAAATTTATACAGAAGGGTTGCTGGGATGACTGTGCTGCTGATGTCTTGTGGTTTATTGAAAGTAACAGTTAACGCTTTATTTATTTATTTTTGACCAGTTTTGACCAATTTATTTATGTATTTTTATATCTGGCAATCTGAACAACTAATATGAAGGCAACAGTGGTTGCAATATAACAATCATTGCTGAATTCCTGTCATCTTGTTTAGTCAAACTCTGTATCATTTATAATGTTTTGTTTTCTTTTGTTTTGAATTTTATTCTCTTTAATGGTTTGGTCAATTTTGCTTTCTTACTTCTGTTAATCTCAATAACTTCATCGAAGATATAAAATATGTAATATAACAACCAGTGTTAATGCCTATCATGTTATTACAAAACCCTGTATCATTCTTATTGTTTTTGCTTGGTTTTGTTTTTGTCTATGTTGTTGGTATTCTGCTATTGTTCTTTTTTATGATTGTTCTCTTTAAAATATGAAGAAATGATTAGGGATAAAAAGAGAAAAAAAATGTATATGCATTCAGACTAATGGCTTAACATGAGAAAGTCTTAGTATTACAACATATTCCACTGCAGTATTTTCTTTTTGTGTTGCAAAATATAAATCCCTAACTAACTTGATGTAATTACTGTCCCATTTCCTTCATGAAGTGAGCCAGCTTTGATTTTCATTGTTTTTCTAGATCACACAATTTGTGGTGTATTTGTACATCACGAATATTTTTTCTGGATTAAAAGAATAAATATGAACTTTATTGGATTTCTTAAATCCTACAATTTTTGACAAGGCTGATATAGGACAAATAAGAGTTTCATTATACTCCCTATGTTATCTGTATATAACTATTAATCTTCACTATTAGACACAGATTAAACGTTTCTCTCTCCATCTACATCTTTAGCTGAGAAGTTCATGTTTAAATTAAATAATTAGTCTTTTATTTGCTTAGAAAAGTCTATGAATTGGCAGGAAGAAATAAATGAAAACCATATTTCACCAGGACACAGGGGTTGAAGTTTCATGTGTATGACAACTCAGTTTCTTATGAACTCTATATATTTGGTATAACATCTATTGTTACATAGAAATTTTGACAATAGTAAAATTTGAGACACTTAATCTATCTCAATTTATTAGATGCTTCCTCTACAGATATTTCCTATTTGATAGTGTAGGGAGTAGGATAAAAAGGGGAATAGATAGAAAAATGGTAGTAAACAACAGTCTCAGAGTCAAACACAGTCTATAATTACAGCAGCTATGAATGCAAAAAACTAATCTAAAGAAATTTACTTCTATTGGACCTGAAAGAAAATGCATGCTGATTCTTCTATTATTTTTGTACAAATAACTCTTACATTGAGATTGCTCTAAGCCTCACTGAAAATTCTATGACATTAGGCAATGTTACTTAGAAATTATACTTGTATTTTTATCTACTTTATAGCTATAGTTAATTCAAAATTTAGGAATTCACCTACCACAGAATGATTCATCTGATTTGTCAGGGCAGTCATATCTAAAATCACATTTCTGGAATTTTTCAACACAATTACCATCAGTTCTGCAGACAAATTCACTATCTGTGCAGTTGTGCGGAGGTAATGTTACAGGAATTGAAGTTTCTGGTGGAGTTGGAAGGTCTACTGGCAAATTACCTGGTTAACAAAAGATATACAGGCATCATGTAGCAGATTTTCAATTTCTTTAAATGTTTCACACAATGGACCTTTCTAAATATGCTTGCTTTCAACATTATAACATTTAACGATAATTTTAGTCTGTTAAAAATGTTTTTGTAAACATTTGAATTGAGTGTCTTGTCTTAGCAATGATAAAAAACACTCTGAATATTTTTAATTATAAAAGTAGGTGAATGGGCAGGGTTATAACTCAGTGGCACAGTGCCTACCTGGCAAGCACAAGGCCCTGAGTTCAATTCCTGGCACTAAAAACAAAACAAAACAAAAATAAAAGTAGGTGAAGGGATAGGTAGAAGTTATTCAACTGGCAAAGTTATTCAGAGCCCATCAGAGGGCCAAAGAAAAGGCTTGAAAGATGAAGAGAAGTCAAAAGAGTTTGAGATGTTGACACTGGATACTAAAGTCAAGATCAAAATAAACTTTCTGCACCACTAGGTAAATAAACTTTATTCTTCCACTGCTCCAATGAATTAACATCTCCTCCTTTTGTCATATATTCAAGACCCAAGATTTCAAGGCAGATCCAAACCAGCAGACTGCCCTTATAAATTTTAAGCAACTAATATTATAAATTCTGAAATCATACAAATTGAAAGATATCTATAGAAGTTTATTAGCTTATACATTAAATTGCTTGATATGCATGCATTTGTAGCATCTTCATGCTATGCACATGTTGGATGCATCAAATTTAAATCCAAATAGGCCATTTTTGCCATGAAATGTTACCTAGTAGTGGAAAAATAAGCCAAATATATTTTTCATAACAGTTCCAAGTTACAAGTTTATGACAGAAATTGTAACTGGATGAAAATGAAAATGGCATCTATCCTTTCAACCCTGTAACCGCAGCACATTTTTCAAACCATTGGTGAGTGGATCAATAAATGGACAGATGGATGGAAAGATGAATGGATGATGCATAAAAGAGTTAATAAATAAATACACAAATGAAATATTTTTATAGTGTATTAAAATAATAGAGAAGAAAACAGAACATCAGAAGGGAGAGAGAAGCCTTTTAAGCAAGATGATGCCTCAATTAAGAATCAATTTATCTGGTTCAATAAAGAAGGATATAAAGTCTTTATTGGCCAGTGACAGAAAAAATACACCGAACTGTTTTCCTTTTCATTTGTACACCATGAGAGTTTGTCATGAGAATGCCTCATAATGAGAGAATAGTATATGCAGGTGATTCCTGAGCTTCAAAACTAGACAGTAGACAGCTCCCTAGTCATAAAGAGCCAGGTCAGACAAATTTTCAAGTCTGGAATAAATTGAAAAAGCTGTGGAGAAATACCTAGACATAAAATTACTATTTCAAAAACATTTCTCTGGTGTTAGTGTGGAGGAGGTTTTGCCTGTGGCTCTGATAAGGGGAAAGTGGAACAGCTACGTACTTTCTCTAATTCAGGCAAGTAGTGCCTCAAAGCAGAGATGGTTTAGAGGTGAAAGTAAAGACCTGAGCAATATTAAACACCCAGTCTCAACTGGAAAGGGGATGTGGGTGCTGTTGGGAATTTGAGGAAAGTCTAATAAGTACTTTGTCTTCAAATTTCCTCCAGTGTTTATTTCCTAGTTCAGATTCTGAAGTAATTAAGTAAGACTGACACGTATAGCAGATTGTAGATCCACATTTCAACATTTTAGAAGTGAAGCTAATACTGGAGAAAATACATATATCTATAGGAAGTTGTTTGCAAAAGAAATAAGCACTGTAAGTTAGAACCTGTTCCTGGAAATGTAGAGTCTGCCTTTGTGGAAATGCAGTGAGGAGGTATTCACTAGATCTTATCCTTTTTATAGCAAGTCAGCTCCAAAACGAGAAGAGGAAAAGAAGAGCCGAGCATGCATACTTTGTTTGGAAACTTACAAACCCATTATTGTTTTCCCTTACCCAGAAAAGGAATGACTAGGGAGATCAAGGAAGTACAGGGATGCTAGGAACTGTTATAGTTTGTGTCTAGATGTCCCCACAAAGCATCATGAAGTCATGGAGCAGGCTTCTAGAGTCTGTGATCGATTCATGGCCCAATGCTGGGATTACGGGTGTGAGTGCTACTCTAGGGTGGGAATCCTGCATGCAATATAAGGGAGGGAAAGAGGCTTGTTCTCTCTGCTCCTCCCTTTTTGCTCTTGTTACTTTGCTGTCTTCTGCTGCCATGAATTGTTGCCTTCTGCCCTGTGCCACTCTGCCTTGGAGCCAGCTGAGTATGGACTGAAACCTCAAACTGTTAGCTAAATAAACCTTTCCTTCCTTAATTCTGGGCATCAGGTATTTTGTCTCAGCAATGAGAGAACAGTAACTAAGACAGGTTCTAAGTTTAGTTTACATGAAAAGAGAAGTTAGTCTCAAAGAAAATGTGTTCTTCTCCCCAAGGGAAAAGTGAAAAATAATAAATATATCAACAATTAGATGATTATAATACTATTCTCTGAGATCACATATATAAGGTGTATTAAAAGGATTCAATTTGTAGAACTGAAGAAATATTTTGTATCTCAATAGGATTTCAATAGCAATAGTCCAGAAAAGCAGGTTCTTAGAGGTCAGAGATCTCACTCCCCTGCAGCCTGATACACCCACATTAATACCATACAACAAATAAGAAATGAAAATTATCATCTACCATAAGAATCTGATATGTCCAATGTTGTAAAATTTGAAATTTTATAAGGGAGAATAACTTAAACATTTTGAAAGCTGGTAATTTTTAAAATCTTAAGGAAAACAGATGAATCAGAGAGAAAACCCAGCAAAGTTATGAACAACTAATTCAAAATAAAGTTCAATGAGATCACAGGATATTTCCTATTTATCTACAGTTCTGCTTTCTAGGGCTTGAGTTACATTCAGTCAGCTATGGGAAATGGGAACTTGGGAAATAGGTAAATGGTAAATTACTCATGGTAAATAGGACATTCCAGAGAAAACAATTTATAAATTTTGAAATGTACACCATTCTGAGCAGTGTAATGAATTCTTGGGTCATTTTGTTCTTCCTATCAGGACATGAATCATCCCTTCATCAAGCATTTGAGTGCTGTATGTTCTCCCTGTCACTTTCATAGCCATCTGGATTATCAGAATGACTGTTACAGTATCATAGAGCTTGAGGTCAAGTAATCCTCATTTTATTTTTAATGGACCCAAAACTCAAGAGAAATAATACTGGTAAATTTAGGTTTCCTTTAAGTGGAAATATGAGAGTCCCTGACTTAATAACATATGAGAAAAATCTCTTATCTGTGAAACTGGGAATAAAGAAACAGAAAATTGTGTTAGCTTGCAAATTAAAACCACAGATACCATAATCTGCAGAAAGGATGGCTATCATCAAAAAGTCAAATAATCCCAAATATTGGCAAGGCTGCAGGAAAAGTGGAACCCTTCCACATTGTTGGTGAAAAGGTAAACTAGTACAACCACTATGGAAGTCAGTATGGAGATTCTTCAAAAAACTAAATATAGAAATCCATGTGATCCAGTTATTCTCCTTGTAGATACCTTCTCAAAAGAGTTAAATTCATCACGTTATAGTGATACATGCATATCCATGTTTATAGCAGCACAATTTATAATAGTTCAACGTTAGAAGTAGCTTACATGCTCATCAACAGATGAATGGACAAGGAAAATGTGGTACTTATATACAACTGGGCATTACTCTACCATAAAGAAGGATCAACTTGAAGTATTTGTAGGTAAAAGGATGCACCTTGAGACTGTAATATTAAGTAAAATAAATGAGACACACAAGCTTAAATATCATATGGTTTCTTCTCTTTGAAAAACCCAAAATATAAATAAAGAACAAGATAATAGGAAGTAGGGAATAGATCTTTCTCAAAAGGGATGGGAACAAGCAGTGGGGGGAGGGGAGGAAGGGGATGGAAAAAGAACTGAAAGATAAAATGAAAATGAAGCTTGTGTCAATGGGAAAGGAACCAAGTTGGAAGGAGCAGAGAGGGTTTAGAGGGGAAAGGGGTGAAGAGAAGAATTAAGGTGAGTTTTGTATGCATGATAACACCCCTCAATAAATGTAATCATTATATACTGCAAAGATGTGGTAATGAAAAAGAACCCTGGGAAAGAAAGAAACAAAGAAACAGAGAAACAGAGAAAGAAGGAAAGAAAATTGTGTTAAGTGTACTACTACATCTCAAATCACAAGTTACGGGCATAGTGGATGGTAAATGTTTAGTTAAGATGGAGACACTATTAAATTTGTGGTTGGAAGAAATGACCAGATTAAGTATTTGAATTGAAAGCACTATGTTAAGCAGAAAGCATTACCCATATATCAAGGCTTCAGCTAGGGATCTCCTGAAATGATACACACTAAGCCATTTAGTGTAAAGTAGGGTGGGTTTCACAGATACAGGGATCATTTTAGATTGATAAACTTTCTATAAAGCCTATGTCATTCAGTGAAGAAGTTTCTACCACATTTTTGCTTAGCTGAACAAAAAAATACCATCCAAAGGAAGTCATAAATTGTGTTGAAACCAGGGTGTTTGGGAGGAAAGGCCACAATAGAACCTACATTTGTAAAAGTGCAGAGGAGGTGGTTAGTCATAAAATGCAGACAGAATAATTCTGACTCCTTTGGCAGTGATAGAAAGCATACAAAAAATCCAGATACAATGTACAGCCTGGAGCTCACACATTCTCAAACATGAAAACAAAACTTATCTGCTTGTGTTGTGGCAACATAATCAGAAGTCAGGGGTGATAACCATCTTGTTTGTGGAGTGGTTCCACCAATATATCATTCCAGAAGTGAAAAACCATTTGGAAGAGGAAGTGTTGGAATGTAAAAATGTAGAGAACCTAGTTGGTCTCTCCTTGTACCCTGGAGGTGGGTATGAGGAAATAAAGACAAGAGACAAGAGCTGAGTCAGGTGGAGGTGACCCCTTACTTGATCAGCAAGAGGACCTAACTTTAACA